CCTATCAGGCAGGTAAAGTCTGCCTTTGTATTGCTAAGTCAGCAGGAAGAAGTAGCAAAAAAAGAAAAAAAGAAAAACTGTTGGGGAATAATAGGGGTGAGATGGTCTGCATGTAGGTGAGAAGGACTGACCGGACCCAACCTCAGCCGCAGTCCAACAATCTTGTTTTCATTTTTAATGAGGATCTGGACACAGTCAGGTAATTTAAACCATGTAGTGATGTTTGCCAGATTTTGGTGGGGAGGGGGGGTAATGGAAATATTACCTGTCCAGATTTTTTAAACAGTGTATCTTTCATTACTGTCACCTACGGCTATATTTATATCCTCGAACAATCCCCTGTAAGAGCATCCAAAAGAGTTTTCCCAGCTGCTTTTATTTGGTCTAATAGTTCCTGTTTCTGTGATTCCTCAGCTGGATCGCGGGGCCAAGTTGAAACTAACACTCTGGTAGTTGGAAAATGTTGTCTTTTCAAAATCTGTTATGAGCTTTAGTTGCTATGTTGATACTGTGGGCTTTTTGAAATGTCTTTATGCAGAGATTAAACTACGACATCCTGCAGTATTAGATGTGTAAAGATGTGCAGCTGGAGTAAAGTACAGTAAATGAGTAGTATTTTTTTCTTAAAATAAGGGATTTTTTTTTCTTGAATTGAGCAGGTAAGTGAGACACTTTGCCAGTGGAACAAGACAATTTATATTTAAAATAAGAAAAAAACAATTGCTTTGTCTTATTTTAAGTGCATACTATCTAATTATCTTATTTTAGGAGTAAATATACTCATTACATTGGCAAAACATCCTATTTACTTACTCAAATTTGGGTTAAATACACTTAATTTCAGAATTTTTTACTAATTTCTAGTTTTTTTTAGTGGTGTAGGTATTTTTTCTTCCATAGTCATTTTTTCTACTCATTTTGACCACTCTCACATTCTTTAGTTTGTTCTTTTTATTTGCTTCCTTAAAATTAGATTAATTTTTTTTTCCCTCGCTGACTGTTTAGCAATTTTGGAGTCACTTCAAAATTAAGTCCTGGTGCTTTACTAGATAAAGCTAAAATCTGTGTACCTTTAGGAAAAGCCTACCTGTGCATCCAAAGGCGACCACTCCCACTGACACCAGGTTGATGACGTAAGCCTGCTTGTTGGTGAACATTTCCAGCCAGACGTCAAACACGCTGACAAAGATGAGTGGCCCCAGTGCCAAGATGTAACCTGCAGAGGACGGAAAAGGCTGATATGTAAATATATTCCTGCCGTTGTCTGTGATGTGATTGAATTCATTGTGCAATCATCAGCTTTGCTGCAGGTGAGATCCTGTTGCAGAGCTACGAATGTATCAACTCCACAGAAAAGCTCTCAAGCGAACAACACACTTCAAAAGTTTCCCCCTCAAGGCTGCAGGCAGAGCTATTTTAAGTTACAAAGAATAGAGTGGTTAAAGCTCACATGCACCAAGTGGAAATCAGCACAGAGTCACAGAAACTCTCCTCAGAGATATTCTTTCAAAAACTCTTCTTGTTTCATTCTTGCTCAAAGATGTTTTTACTTTTATTTCTGGCACTACGAAGCCTTTACATTCCTTAACTTATCTCCAACACAAATGTATAAAATCATAAGCATAGAATAGTTTATTTTAAAAGCATTTTTAGGCATCACTTTTAAAATGTGTTGAATGTATCAGAGGGAGTTCAGAGCATCTTATATTAATCAACCATTTAGATGCTTTGAGACATTACAGCAACATTGAAAAGATGTAAATAATTATGAAAAAAAATATACAAAAACACTGTGCATGCATAAATGTCTTTGGCATTTCTAAATGCCAGAAGGAGAACGCAAACATGGCGACTTGAACCTACCCACAGTAATCCTGGTGTGCATGCTGAGTCTCTCCACCAGCACATTGTTGAGGATCACAGCCAGCAGAGCAACCACTATATAGGTTAGACTCATGTCAAACACTATGGGTGTTCCTGAAATACAGGAGAAAGATGGAAATGCTGAGGCTGTGGGTGTCCAGGTGGTGTCTTTGAACGTCATGTACATTCATACCCTGAAACTTGCAATGTAGGTAGTCGACATCAGTGATGAAGCTGTTGTAGGGAAGCAGGAAACCCACTCCAGCCAGGAGCATTGCAAAGTAGATGCCATGGTAACGGTCATCAGGGATGGGCTGCTCAAATTCTGAAGAGGGAAATGAAAGGAGTCAAGGGTTAGAAATTAAAACAGTGGGGATATGACACACTGCTATGAATCACTTCAAGAGATTTTCCATCTTTTTTGCAATTCAAAACAGTTAGGTTGGGATAAAAAATGAAAAGATGCATTAACCTGGTTGCGAAATCGGTTTCTTTAGTACTTGATGTTCTCTTTAAAGAAAAATCAACATGAAGTAAAATTCAGTTTCAATTACAATTTCCCTGACTATTAATCATAGTTATAGTTTAAAGCCTTAATACTTTCACAGAGATATTTCACCCAAATCTTAAGATATATGTAAATTTACTACATTAAAAAACATCCATCCATCTCACAACACGCTTATCCCTGTTGGGGTCGTGAGGGGTGCTGGTGCCTATCTCCATCTGTCTACAGGCGAGAGGCGGGGTCCACCCTGGACAGGTCGCCAGTCCATCGCAGGGCAACACAGAGAAAAACAGGACAAACAACCATTCACGCACACACTCACACCTAAGGAGAATTAATACAATTAACCTAACAGTCATGTTTTTGGAGTGTGGGAGGAAGCTGGAGTACCCAGAGAGAACCCACGCATTCTCAGGGAGAACATGCAAACTGCATGCAGAAAGACCCCGGACCAGGAATCGAACCCGGAACTTCAACAAAAACCTTTTCAATAAAATGTACATGATCCATATTAGCATAATAAATGATTTATCTGAAATACATATTTATCGGGTTTATGTATTTAGTACTAATAAAGTATACTAACTCAAAATGTATACTAATGGTTGTATTTATTTAAAATACATAAAATATATTGTTTGATTTGCATAAAGGTAACCTGATTATTGTGCAACTTTATGAACTTTATGTATTTAAAATAAATACAACCATTAGTATTAATTTCTACTACAGTAAGTATTCTTTATTAATTCTAAATAAATAAACTTGACAGTTATGTATTTTTAAAAAATAAGTTCTATTAAATTAATGAAGCATCATATAAGGTTTATTTAATAAGTTGTGTTACAATTATCTAAATAAATGTTCATAGGAATTTTAGATGTTATAAAATTACATAAATCTTAAAATTTAAGTGAAATATTTTTGTGACACTATCCACCTCTCCATGTGCTTCTGTTTATCACACAGCTTGTGGCTCATTTGCAGAGCTCTGAAGAACTTAAGGTAGTTTAGTCATTTGATTAACGTGTGCAAGGCAAGGGACCCATCTAAATGCTGCAGGACACTTGCCCTAGAGGATTTCTGTTAGTAACCGCTGGTTCAATGTATACACCCTGTTATGATCATAAGAAACTTGGAGGAAATAAAAATGGCCTCACAAAAACTGCTCATTACTCTGATCAGAAGGGCTGCCAAGAGACAACCCAGAGGGAGCTGCAGGGATTTCTGCTTAACACTGCTTACATTGGGATATGTTGTGGATCAGAGTTTAGCTCTTTAGTTCAACTCTCAAAAGTTTTTTTTGGCACAGAAACATACATTTTAACAAAATACCCAAGAGAATCTAGCTGCAGCCCTGCACTGTCAGAACCTGTAGTTTATTCAAAGCATTTTAAAGTAAAAGTGAAGAAAAAATAAAAGCTAGTATACCTGAAATATTTTACATTCTCGTGTTTATTTCCTGGGTCTTCATAATAGAAGTATGTTTGTCTATTCATGTGTTTCACAATGTACATTCATATAATCTCTTTCCAGCTCACCTGGATAAGAAAAAAACAACATTATCACGGTTCTTTTATAAAGACATCTTTTATGTATGTTTGCAAGTATTTGCAAGTATCATATATTCTTTATTCTTTTAGTATTGTTTGTGCTATTTTCTTACCTATGCTTTTGGACCACATAGATTTGCCAATGGAGGGTGTTTGATTTCAAATCAACTTCAAGATCAAGATCTGTTTACTCACAATAAATTACTGAATATCTAGATACATCATCAAAATAGCCAAAAACCTTTGTTTTTTTACCTACGACAACAGAATAAAGAGTAGACACAAAACAAACTTTCAAATGTCTGATAAATGTGTCAGAACTGATCAAATTACAGACCGTTCTGCACTGATCCAAAAGGTTCTGGCAAAAAAATATTATTTTCTACAATCATAATGAGTCAAACACGCTAATGAGGAGGAAGGATTCTGCTGCAGCAGATGGAGAAACTGGTGAAGTAAAAGTCTCTGCCCTTCTGACTGCTGAGAAGCAGATTACAGGGGTTGGTTTGTTGACAGAAAACTAGCTGTCAGAGTTGGTTCATTAAAAGACTGTTTTGCAGCAGAATCCTTCTCATGGATAAAGTATGATGTGCAGGGTCTCTATGGAAGTGCTCCTAATCCGTCTCTAATCCTGTAAACTCACTTTAACCAGCTTTGAATTATTTGGAAGGAAGTAGATTTTACAGCAGACTAAGGTGGAAAAGTAGTTCTCACTATGAAGTAACAACAGCTGATCTGCTGATGGTTTTTGTTGATTGTGTAGACAATGTGTAGAGAATGTTCAAATAACATGAAAATAGGAGGCAGCTTGACTCTTGCTCAGTTTTTCTAAAGACGTTTTGACACCTATCCTGGAATCTTTGTTAGTTCACACTAGAGCAAACTGTAATTGGAGCGCTGCACCATGGAGGCCCATCCACCGAAGCCCATTCCAACTCAGATGCAAATTTAAAAAACCGGCCTGTTTTAGAAGGCTTGCGTGATAATAAATGTACAGGTTTCGATTTAAATGGAAAATCAACATCTATTTACAAATTAAACAAAACCGTAACAAAAAAAAACAAATTATAGAGCTAAGTAACGGCCATACAGTTTATGATTGAACTGAAAGAACCTTTCTAAAGCTGAAGAAGAAAAAACTAAAACGGCAAAGATTCAAAACTGAAAAGAAATTTTTAAAGTATATTAAAGAATAATCAATCATTATCATTTATGTTATTAGTTTGACAAAAACAAAAGGGTCACTGTTTCAAAATTTTTTTCAGTTTACATTATTTTTTCTCCAGTTTTAGAAATATTGTTCAGATTCAGTGATGCACGTTGTGGAACTTTTGCTTTACATTTCTGGGTTTGATTCCTGGTCTACGTTTTTTTTGCATGGAGACTGCAGTTTCTCCTCATGCATGCATGGGTTCTCTCATCCGAGCCACACTAATATAAATGTTAGGTCTCTGAATTGTCCTTGGTTGTGAGTGTACATGGTTTTATGTTTCTGTGTGGCCCTGCAACAAACTGATGATCTGTCCAGGGTGTACCCCGCCTTTCGCCCATAGACTGCTGGAAATAGCACCACCATGACCCTGACTGAAAAAGCGAGAGAAGATGGATGGATGTTTAGATTCAAATCTCTCCTTTTCAGTTTTTAAAAATACTTTTTGGCTTAAAACCTTTTTTTTCCCCAAATATATATTTAGGAAAATATAATATATTTACGGCATAATTTACAATAATATAAATGTACAGCACTAGTGGCTCATTTTATGGACAGTAGGCTGACAGGAAAGAGAGGGAGTGGACATAAGTCGGATTCGAACCCGGGTCATCTGGGTCAAGGGCTAAGCCCTCTGTACATGGGTCATGTGCTCCAACAACTGCACCACCGAAGCACGCCCATATTTTACTTATTTCCAAAAAGAGTTTTCACTTTAAATAAAATATGTTTTTGAAAAAAAAACTTTTTGGTCTTTATTTAGCCATTTACAGGGGAATGTCATTGCATGCACTATACATGAATGCACTTAAGATTTGGACAAAGTCTGCATGCATCGCCTGATATCACTACATTACAAAAATGCTTATATCAACCAAAATATTGTTATACCGGCACATCAGTCTGTCTCTACTGAAGACCTTTGCATGAGTACTTTCTGTCTGGGTTGGCCGATGTGTTTTACATAAATCCTCCAGTTTGGGTTTTTATATTGAATGTGAACACTTCAACAACATTTGGTGGCAATATTGGCTGTCATCTGCTCTCTTCCTATATCACTTATTCTAATATCAAATGCTCAATGGCAGTATAGAATCAGAAATAAAAAGAATAGTATTTTCTTCATTCTAACTCTATTTAGTCGAGTGATCCGAAGGTTATTAATGTTTCTATTGCAGGGAGATATATACATGTGTATATTTATATCTTGCTGAGCAGAGAAATAAGTCTCCAAAATCTTAAAAGTAACATTTATTTTAAGCTTGATAAATGTTGCTGAAGTGTATTTGAATAGCTACCAAACAAGCAGCAGTGTTCCCACTGGACAGGTTTTATCACACACCACTGCAGATTAATTACCTGACAACCCCTCACACAACCCATAAAAACAAACAGCCATAACCAATTATTTCTGTCTTTTAACTGTGAAACAATAAACACCAGCTGATTTAAACTCTGCTGTGAGACACACAGCAGAGTTTAAATCTTTAAAAACATCTCTACTGGCATTTAATCATAACAACTGATGTATTTGCGTTTAAAGTCAGTCTCTTTCAGAGTGACTAGAGAGCTCTGCATGTAGGAGGCAGTTTGGCTCCTACATGCATCTGGAAAGCATGAAATGTTTCTCAAAATAAGTTTACATATTTATCTCCCTGCATTTATGATGTGTTCATAGAACATTTCCTGCACACGTGCAGATGATGGCTAAAGGGCTAAAAATTAGAATTTAAATATTTTTAAAGATACTAGTTCAATAAAACCATATAAACTAACTTTAGATAGTTTGTCACTAATAGAATGTGCTAATTTAGATTTTAACTTCCTCTCGGAAGCCAAATTTGGAAAACTTCGCACAAAGAGAAAAGACAATTAGGAGAAATGTATTGATACAACTACTTTGTCTTTGGTGCTCAGACCTCGGCAGGAAACATAGCACTTAATTTTGATAGATATGCATGAACAGGAGCAAAGAATAGGGCTGTTGCCCCAGGCCTGAAACTGGTGGAATGGAGTTGGATGAAGTTGGTCAGTCTGTAGACTGCTGGTTAGTGAGATGGTATGCTGAGCTTAATGGGGAGATCCAGTGGACTGCGTGAGCTCATACTAGAGCTTCACTCAGGGACCTGGAAGATGGAAGTCCAGGTTGGATAACACAGGTTAAGAGAACCTCTACATGATGAGCAAGCATTGAGCGACAGTGGAGAGAAAAAACTCCCAGTTGGGAAGAAACCTCTGGCAGAACCAGGCGCAACATGTCGGTCTTCTGCCAGACCGGTTAAGAAGCTAAAGGGAACGCAGTAAGAGTCCGGGAGGATGGTGGAGGAGGGGCTGGAGGTGAGTTGAAACTAGGTTATCTGAATGAAGTCACAGCGCATCCACCGCCTGCACACAGGAGCAACAGGTGCTTATCGGAGGCCTTTTAAGATGCACTTTGAAAGCCGATTGGGTTTTCTTAGAGGTGTGGTTCAAAGCTGATTGGCTGTGTCACAGGTGGATGAAGGAAAGCAATGAGTTTCTTCAGTTGAAGTTCCGCCTAGGCTCCATGTTAGATTTGCCTCTTGGAATCCAAAAAACATGTTCTGCTCCCTCTCTGAAGCTAAAATGCATGTTAAAGTGTTCACTTGTGGAGCAAAACGTGTGCTCAGTGCCCTCTTGGGAACCAAAACACATGTTAAAATGCCCCCTTGGAAGCTGAAACTCATGTTTAATGCCTTCTTAGGGGCCAATATGTGTGCTAAAGTGCCCTCTACAGTGGTGAGTATGTGCTATATGCGCCTTTTTTTGTAAAATTTTCAATGGTAGCTTCCATCTTAATCAGAGGTGTCATCAGCTGTAGTTCCAAACGACAGTGAAGGTAGCCTCTGATGAAGACAAAAGATACCATAAAAATATGCCAGGTTTGTCTTTAGACACATAAACAGCATGTCTGCTAACAGGAGAAAAAGAGAAAGTCTATTCAAAGGTTTTCATACTCCTCTAGTTTACTTACTGATTCCGCTTTTGTGATGAAATCAGTCTAAAATTATTCTTCATAATCCAGCTGCTTTTATTACTTTGGGTAAAACTGGAGCAAAAAATTACACTATAGAACACACGCCTGTTGAAACAAAATAAAACATTTCACGGCATTGCATAGTTTTCTATTGGTTTGAAAAGAAACTAAAGGTGATTATAAAAACCCACAGTAAGCAGAGCTGAGGAAGGAGAAGTAGATGAGTCTGGGAGACACTGTATCCAGGGCCCTGGCTGTGTGTCTGTCTTCACTCATGATCTAATTAAACCGGCCTTTGTGCAACCTTTGTAACCAGGCAACAAGGCAATTATGTGTCAACAGGTCTGCCTGCCTTGCTTTACACAAAACATGTTGCTTTCTCCTTCTCCTCCAACGTTATCTGGACATGTTTATCACACACCTGTTACTGACCCTGAAAACAAACCTGATAAAAAAGCAGCGTCCGATTCTTGATGTTATTTCATACACTAAGAAGGAAATAATTTGTCCTCACTGCAAGAAAATACCTGCAAAGGACAAACTAAATCCATTGTGTGTTTTAATTTTTTTTTAAGTTAATACAAGAGCAAAGTGGATTTAATCCCCAGGAAATGTTCATAATTAAAGCCACATCTAATCAAAGTATAACAGCAGGACCTCCAGCGATGATGTGCTTGTTGAACGCTGTTTTCTCTCCTGTTTTTTCTTTACTATCCTGCTCAGCTAACTCCTACATTAAATCCACTTTGTTCCTCTGCTGTCTTTTTATAAATAGTGCAAAACATGAACACAGAGAAAGAGAGAAAGCAAGAAGTGCTCACCGGGCTCAGATAGAGCCAGCACTCCTCGCTCTGGGGCGTCTTTACTGATCTCCTCCTCCTCCAGCTGATACGAATCGAAGCTGTAGCTCTGCACCACGCCGCTCTCCCTTCCCTCTCTCCAGCCCTCCCTCCCGGGATCCCTCCATCCAGCCATTCCTCGATCCCTCCACCCGTCCCATTCCTCGGGCGTCTGGGCCGGCGTTGGCCTGCGACGCTCCGCTCCCACTGAGCCCATTTCTGTCCTTGAAGAATGCATGAAGACACACAGAAGACTCCTCTGAGCTCAAACTGCTACTCGCACCTTAGAGCCTGCATGTTAAACAAAACCCCAGCGATGCGCCCTTGGAAGAGATGCAGAAGAGCTTCAGATGTTGGAGGATCTGCAGGGGGAAACAACAGGAGAGTGGGGTTAGGATGGGAAAGAAATGGAGAGGCAGGCTGGAACAAATGATCTGTCAGAGCTTTGCTCAAAATAACTTCAATGAGTCGTTAAAACACGGTTTGCTTCTGTGTACGTTGATTTTGCTAAATGAGAAAGTGACAATGGATGGGTGACAGGAGGGGTGGAGAGCTGAAGGAGAACGGTAAAGAAACAGAAAAACAAAGTAGGATAATGATTTGGTTGAACTCAGTTTAAATCACCTCATCTTTGCTGCTTCCAGCTTCTAGATCTGCTTTAAAGCTTTCCTCCGGTTTTATGGAAAGAGGTTAAAGTTTAATTAGACAGACCGTTAAGTTTGAAGTTGTTCCTAAAGAGCCTTGCAAAATTATTCAACCACTTTTAACATTCTTTTTTTTTTTTTACAATACAGCCACAAACTAAAAAGCATTTAAAATTGCTAAATGACTAAAATAGTCACATTTTAAAAGTTTTTGTCAAATAAAATCTAAAAAGTATGACACTATAGACTAGGGCAGCAGTTATCATTTATCTTAAATACCAATAATAGTAATAGTTTTTTCAATTTTAATCACAGAAATAGACCTATTCTTAATCAATTAATACTCCTCAATAAACAAGCAATTGAACTACATCACAGACATTTACCACACATTTTAAATCATTATTAATCGATAAAACATGTATTTTAATGCTTAGAAATGCAATTTTAGGAGTTCTGAATCAAGCATATTTACAGACAAAGAAGCGTTTTCATCATGAATACAAATGTTATTTATTTTCCCTACAGTTTAGGCTCAGTTATTGCTCTGAGAGGGTTTCTCCTTAAACAAATGAAATGTTTTAGAGTCTGTGTATTCCAGTAAGTGATTCTTCCATTAATGATGTGTTCCATCATTTCAGCAATCAGTTAATCACCATTATTCTCACTAATTGCTTCAGACGTACTATTTAGCGTGTGACCTTTCATAGTCAAAAAATAAAAACACTTTTTATGTCTAGACATAAAAGCAAAGAAAAAGAACTTTGTGAAAAATAACTTTTAGACCATCAGAAGGAATGCTTTCTTAGGTGGAACATTTTATTTTTGTTAAAAGGTAAGAAAAACAATGAAAGACACAGTTTGCATCCAACTAAAAGCTCTAAAAAAAAAGGTTATTCTTATGTTGAAATTGAATTTAGAAATTACATCAAAACAGACAACAAAGCCTGCTAAAGCTACCCTGTTGTATTTTTGATAATACATCCGATTTGACCCAAACTTGGCCCCCCTACAGATCAGAACCCCCAGGATGTAGGTTCCTAATGTAGGTCTGACCCACCAAGCAAGTATAGCCTTCATCAGAGAAGCAGCCGAGAGACTCATGGTAGCTTTGGAGGAGGAGACACATGGCGAACAGAGAAAGGGCTCCACATAGAAAACACCATCTGCAATTCAACTTGAATAAACAAATCTACAAGGTGGTGGCAGCATCATGCTGCTGGAAAGATCCACAGATTTGATGCTTTGATGCTTTGTTGTCGTTTTTTTGCCGCGCCGTGAACCCCCCCCCCCCCCAACCCAAAATCACACAGACATGTTTCTGCATGTCTGGGGCACACTGATTGGTTGATCAGTGTTGGTTGATTGCAACCAAAAATATATAATAAATTAAATTGCATAATTCTTTAAAAAACATTTTATTGATGAATTTTGTTTTTATACAAAGTGTTATAGTAGAAATATAGGAGTTTAGGACATTTTTCTTTTTAGGAAATTGAATAGATATAAATTATAACAATAATGATACTGAGGAGTTCTTTTTAAATATTTTAAGTCTAAAAAACTGCAAGAAAGATGTCTGAAATTTGAAATATATTTTTTCTTTATTGTAATTTCAGAAAAATTCAGATGAAATCTGACCTTTTTAAAGCTTTGTTTTTTTCCGGTATTTATGGTTTTTCACCAGCACTCTGTAAAGATACCTTTTTTGTCCACACAATATGTGCAATCCTACTGAATGTATAAGTAAACAATAGAGTTTCCATCTGTGGGGAACTATAAATATGACTAATTGCCTCCTTGATGGTTCACCTCCTTGAATAGAGACACATATCGAAAACCGTGGACAGCAGAAGAAGCATGATTTTAAATCATATTCATATCCCCTTGAATAAAATGGGAATTTGGAGGGTTAACCTTCTTATTTAAAACTGGAAACACGGAAAGCACGATTTTCTTTGCCACTGCTGCAAAACATGAACCAAAGAGACAAGTTTAAACTACATGCACAGAGCTTAATACTGCTCTATTCTCCCCTCATGCCCTGTAGGAATGATTTTACTCCTGTTTTATGATATAAAGCAAAAAGACTCTTGTTTTAAACATCAAAGAATCCAAATGAGGAAAGCATGTGATGATCTGTGCAAACAGCCAAAGGCTGCAGAAGAAATGGACTGGGTGGCTGCCAAGGTGGAAGAACTGTTGTGCTCAGGGTGTTTTTGTTGGGGAAAATCCAGGAAGATGCCTGGTGCGTCTCAGCCACCTTCTAAACCGTTTCCATGTCCGGACGCGTGGCGGCGCTCGCAGCCCCTTCTTGGTTAAATCAAAAGGCTCCGTAATTTAATTGCAGTTAGTCACTGCTGCAACATCTATTCTGGATTAAAACGGAGCAATTTCAAAAACTGTAAATATTTTTATTTGTATAAATTGTGGGGAAAAAATTGTTGACATTTAACAAGGTAATCTCACGCGTTTTTCCCCGTGCGTAAAAATCCAAAATACAATTAACCAAAAGGCAAGAGAATTAGAATAGTACGGTTGGTCAGATGGATTAATCACCCAGAGGATAATCAGGTGGTCTCCCTATAACGATAAAACCACAATAATCAAGCCAACAATAGTGTCCCTATCGTTATTTGTCTCCTGTCGTTTTCTAGCCGTGTTTTCTCTGTCGCGCTGAAAACAAAAACACTAACAACAGGTTATCATTGATGGCTCCCCTTACCTACCCTGCCTCTCCTCCTCGTTGCTCTCAGCAGAAAGAAGAACCTCCAGCTGAGATCCTGGGCCGGACCTGGACCCTGCTCAGCCCGTCTCCATCCGAACAGGAAGAAGGGGCACCCTTCCTAAACGCGCTCCTAACGCAGCATCCAGGGAGAGAAGAAAGGAAGGAAGCGCGGATGGATGGATGAGAGGGGAGAGGGGGAGGTGAGG